TCCTCGTAATAATAGGAAGAGTCACATCTAGAGTCAGCTTAATCATCCCTATACTAAAGCCATCGTGTCCCTCTGCATTGGTCTTTATATTATCAATAATAACTTTTACTTCCTGTTCTGTAGTAGATTTTAGGACCAACATGTCAAGCTCTGGTGTATCAATTAAACTAGTGAAGGTTTTTTGAGCAACTGTTTCGTTACTGACTGGTAAATTCAAAAAGTGGTCGTTGATTTTATTGGGGTCATTAAGATGTTCAGGAATTATGGATTTGTGCATGTAATCAAACTGGGTACTGTTTTTTAAGTTTTTCCAAAGTAGAGTCGGATTTTTCATATTGTTATTTACAAAATTATTATAGTAGGCTTTTCGTTCTCTTTCAATAGTTGCTGTAACAAAATTTCTTAAATTTCGGTAATAATCTTTCGAGCTTAATGATTTCTTTTTTTCTTTCTTCATGTTTGTAATGTCCATGGTACGTTAGGCTTAATCTTTGAGAACAACCTTACGAATTGGTGCATGTATGTCAAATCTGATGTAATTTGGGCCGTCAGGATATTCACAACGAGTACATGTTTAAAAGTGTTAACAATTTCATCTACATTATGTAGAGTATATATAGATTCCCAGGGAATAAGTTTTAAGTCCTCTGTAAACTTATCTTAATTTACATAATATAATGGTCGTTGAAATCTTACTTCTTTATTTAACTTGGGTTTTTTGATATCTAAATCTACAATTACTAATGCATGGTGACTTAAACAGTGGTTATATATCACATCAATATTTTTGCATTTTAAAGGGCTGTCAGTCATAACGAGGTCTATTATGGTTTGGGAATGGTCGGTGATTCTAGTCGGTTCCTTTTCGAGTTGCTGAAGACTGTGATGATAACAAAAATGCTTAAGTTCTTTCACCTTTGAAGAGCTTACACAAGCCATATCAATATTGAAATCGCCCAGGATACATGTGATGTCACATCGTGCCATAGAGTTCATTGTCTCACTAAGTGCATCTAGAGTTTCTTGAACACTAACATACTCCGGTCTATATGCTGTACCGATTGCCATAGTGGTTCCTGGTAGGTGAACTTCTAACCACATTTGTTCCAGTGGAGATCTTGGATGTTCTCGTATCCTTGTACTTATGTTCTGTCTTACATAGAAGCCCACTCCTCCGCCTTTTTTAACCTGTCTTGCTCTATGTATAAATTTGTAGTTCGGTATCACTGGTGCCAGTGCCTCTTCTCCTGCCTTTAACCAGGTTTCATTAAGGGCAAGGATATCAGGCGAATAGTTAAGAAGAGTTACAAATAATTCTTCTTTTCCGGTATTTATGGATCTAGCGTTTAATAACCCTAATCTCAAATAATTTTGGTTTAAGCTAGACATTATCGCGCGTCAGGGTTAATACAATACTGAGATAAAAGCTATAAAGATAAACGTTACGTTGTAAGTGAGTATGATCTATTTGTGTGAATGTGTAGAGTGTGAGTGTATTTGTTTGTGTTGCAAGAATATATCTTAAAAGTATATTACATCTTAAAACATAATCTATATTAATATAACAAAAAACGTTTATATAATAGTTTAAATTAAATGAAATGAGAAGACATATGAGATCAAATATCAGGCTTTCCAAAAACCCTAGAGAGGTCTATTGTCTATGAGGTCTATGAGAAAGCCTTTGATTCCGTCGAAATTTGGGCGGTGCTGCAGTCCCTTCAGCGGTGCCAAGTTGACTGTCGGCGAAGTGCTGAAGTGTTTGTACAGTAGGGCTACGATGGCTATCCGAGTACAGAACCAGAGCTCGAAACCTATCCAACTGCAGAGAGGTGTAAGACAGGGTGACGTTATATCCACGAAACACTTCACCGCTGCATTGGAAGACGTTTTCAAGCTACTGGACTGGAAAGGATACGGTATTAACATCAGTGGCGAGTACATCACTCTCCTTCGATTTGCCGACGATATAGTCTTATGGCAGAATCGCTGGAGGACTTAAGCACTATGCTCAATGACCTCAATAGTGCCTCCCAACGGATAGGTCTTAAGATGAACATGGACAAAACAAAGATCATGTTTAATGTCCATGTCACACCTATGCCGGTAGTTGTTGGGAGCACTATGCTCGAAGTTGTTGACGAGTACGTTTACCTGGGACAAATAGTCCGACTAGGTAAGTCCAAATTCGACCGAGAGGTCAATCGACGGATTCGACTCGGCTAGGCAGCGTTCGGGAAATTACGACATATCTTCTCGTCAGGTATACCTCAATCTCAAACAGTGCGTGTTGCCAGTGATGACTTACGGATCTGAGAAGTGGTCCTTCACTGCTGGCCGTATGAGGACGCTCAAGGTCGCTCAGCGAGCTATGGAGAGGGCTATGCTCGGAGTTTCTCTGCGTGATAGACTCAGAAATGAGGATATCCGCAGTAAAACCAGAGTGACCGACATAGCCCAACGGATTAGTAACCTGAAGTGGCAATTGGCCGGCCATATAGCTCGAAGAACCGATAACCGATGAGGAAGAAAGGTTCTCGAGTGGCAGCCTCGTACCGGTAGGCGTAGTGTAGGGCGACCCCCCACTAGATGGAGTGACGACCTGGTAAGATATGCAGGAAGTCGATGGATGCAGGTGGCTCAGGACCGTGCTTTGTGGCATTACTTGGGGGTGGCCTATGTTCAGCAGTGGACTTGTGAAGGGCTGTAATGATGATGAGATGATGAAACTTTTTTGTTTTCCTAATTTAATTAATATTTTCGAGATAGTTCATTTAATCACTTTTGAAAATCAACAACTTTTTTTAAATAGCGGTTTTGTGATTGAAGCCTTATAATGAAAACAAAAACTTGGTTAACACTATCTAAGACGATAAACTGATAGGAATTTTCTTTTCACAAATCTGATTTTTAAAATAAGTTAACTAAACCTCCTATTTAGATTTGTTAAATGTTTTAAATTTTATCCTGCATAATGTAAAATAAACTTGTAGCAAAATAATAAACTTATTTTCAATAATTTCTAAGTTTTTTTCCGAAGATCATTTCTAAATACTTTAAAAAAAGAATTTCAAATAACACCTTAGTATTATTTATTTATGTATTACTTATAATTAAATAAAAACTTATGCGGACTACGGTGATTTGTTTATCGATAAAAAATATCGACATAGTCCACGCCTTACGTTGCTTAGACAGCGCCAACAGTGTATCGACACGTGTACAATTTGATGGTATGCGTAAACGCGATGAACACAAACGCAAATGCTGTAGTTTGCATTTATAGTGACACGATTTAATTTTGCATTTGTAGTTATGTATACAGTTGTGTGATTTTCTTGCGCCCCCCTGATGTTGACAGAATTTTTGTTTAGGAATTAACGCGCATGGCCTCTCTAGTTGGTTGAATACTCAAAGCCTCTATATCTGTTATTTGAGAAGCGTTTTGAACGACTACCAAATAGGAGTAAAAAGTTTTGAAAGCGAAAATTGTAAACCTGTGGCATTGCTTACCACTTTGATGACGCTTCTACGCTCCGTTTGTGCAATAATTATGATGCCATAAGCAGTGGCGGCGCTAGATCTCGCGTGGACGTCGGCGAAATTAGGTTGGCGAGGCCTCCTTTTTTTCTCAATCAAGAAAATATTAAATTACGTAAGACGAATTATAGTTAAAATAATATTATTAACAAATTTTATTAAACATTTTATTGTTATTAATCAAGTTTTATTGCTTATCTTAAATGATGACAAAACTTACATAAATAGAAGTTAAAATAAAATAACTTTTCGGCTTTTAGCCTCACTGAACTTTTTCAGGATTACATCGTAGCTAATACCAGACGCTATTTCAGCTTCAATTGATAGAACTGCTGACGAAGATAATCTCTCTTGACTTATCGTCCTTCTCAAGTAGATCTTAATCAATTTTAACTTTGAGAAGCTTCTCTCAGCGGAAGCTGTACTGACGGGAACTGTGAGCATGATTCTAATTGCTATAAAAACATTTGGATATATTTCTTCCTTTGAATGAGTTGTTTCGCGTCGTTGATAGAGTCTAGTGAATTTGTTTTTAAAAGTTGGAGTTCTTCATACAGTTCGAAAGGCTGTATGTCGCTATTTTCGCCTTCTCGAAGTATTGTACCTAAATCATTACAATACTTGAGAAGGTCTTCTTTTGATATAGAATTTAAACATCTGATATCATAAATAAAACCAAATCGTTCAAAATATTCATTGAGCGCTTTAAATCGACATTCGGTATCAACTATAATAGCATCAATCATTGTGTTAAAAAAGTTAACTCTGTACTGCATTTCAGAAGATTGAATAGGTTCACCAGTATGTTCATAATCGAACATTCGTTTTCTCCTGGCTGTTCTTTTTTCTTTAAATTGAGTCTCAATTTCGAAAGTACTTATCTCTACAAATAATCGAGCTTATGCGACACTATTGTCAAATCCTGTATTACGGAATTCTTGAATCCAGCTGCAAAATGACCGTGAAGTATCAATAGCGACTTTCAAGTTGACTTGAACCATTTGCCATAGTTTGCTTGTATTGTTCACACGTATTAAAACCTCGTACCATACGTGTATCGCAACAACAAACTCAAAAGTTAACATTTCATTCAAGACTGCGTCACAGTCGCTTAGAGTTTCAGAATCATCACTTTTATTTTTCAGGTCATTCACGCATTCGATAACATCATCAAATTGCAAAAATATTGCTTTTACTGCTCCGATTCTACGCTCCCATCGTGTTTCAGATAGAGTTTTTAATGTCAATTTTAATTTCGTTTTCACAATATCCCAACGCTTATTTGACTTTGAAAACAGCACATAGATTTTATTGATGACGCCACAAAACGTTTTGGCTGTTGTAGAAGAGTTAGCTGCATCCATCAAAAGCAAATTCCAATTGTGACACCCGCACGGCGTAAAGAATGCTCTTGGGTTTATATTAAGTATTCTTGTTAGGTATCAGCTTATTGTAAGGTATCAGCCTTTATGAATACCGACCACATTGGCGCCGTTGTTATATCCCTGTCCTCGACAGTTTTGAATATCTAGACCATTTCTTTCCAGTTCTTGTAGTATGGAATTTGTTAAATATTCTCCCGTTTTTTCTATGGATATAAACCCAACAAAATGTTCCTCTATTACTCCAGTTGAAGAATTGCAAAATCTTAATATTATTGACATTTGTTCAACGCGGCTGACATCCCTGGTACAGTCGAGCAAGATGGCGTAGTATTTTGCTTGTTTAACTCTATGTATGATTTCTTCAATAACTGATTTAGACATTAATGCAATTAATTCATTTTGGACGTCGTGGCTCAGATAATGTTGAGTTAGTTGCTTTTCATTAATACGTTGCATGTGCTCCCGTAGTGTCAGATCATATTTGGATAACAACTTAAATAAATCTATAAAATTGCCACTGTTTTTGCTATCGTTCAATTTAAAGGATTCTCGATGAGCTCTAAATGCCAAATTGTGTGACGCTAGGTAGTTTTTGATATCAATCATTCTTTCAAACAAATTATACCAGTACTTTTGCGATTCTTTAATAGATCTCTCATTATCTTTATCTATTGTTTTTCCGTGTTTGATTCCTTTATAGAATTCCATCCATTTAATCATGCATACCATGTGTCCTTGACTTTGTTCATGTCTTTGATATATCCGACTCAAATCTTTCCAGTCACAACATCCTTCGTTTACCATCTGTAGTATGTAGACTTTTTTCAAATTTGCAGACACAGATGGGTCTGCAAATTTGAAAAACGTCTACATGGAAAGCAATAAACTTTATCTTGAAAAATGGAGTAAACTAACCATCGGCGATGTTGCGTTTCGCCGTTACTTAATTTTCGAGTGGAATGAAATTTAGAAAAATGTCTTTTATTTGCGTCTTTTGGGTAACTGTCATCAGATTTCTTTAGATATTGATTGGGTCCGTTTTGAATTAGGTCATGACGCTGTGAATCGTTTACTGGAAATACCCACTTTCCTGGATCTAAGTATATAAATGACTCTCTTAGATGAACTCCTTCCACTTGATTTTCTGAGTCACACAACGTTTTACTTTGTAACTCTATATTGGGTTCCGACATTTGGATCATAGTAAGTTCGCTCGATGTTGCAGGTAAAATTGTATCAGAACTTCCAAAAAAAGATTCATTTGACTCTGATACTTGCTCAGAAACTAAAGTTTCATCAGATGACTCTGAAGCAGTGACACTTGAAGAAGGTTTCTTGAGAAATTTCAACATGCTGGAACTTAGAGCTTGGTTGGATATAATAGCTTCAACCTTTCTTTTTCTTTTTAATGCTCCGGATTCCCATTTCCTCCCTTTATCTCTATCTCTACTTGGTCCTCCAGACATGATGACCTAAAAATAAAAAAAAACATTGAAATTAAATAATTATTTAATTCGATACCAACTTTTAAAATAGGCCCAGTATCGTTAGTTAATGATAATGCGATACGAGATCTATCGATCTGTAGTTCGATGTTTTTTGTGTAGCAGATTATAAAAAAACTATAGATACGCACGCCAATGCTTTTAATAGAAAACTGATTAAAATTATTTATGTACGTTATTTTGTACTCAAACAACACTAGATTCTAATGCCAAAGTATAAAGACGGCAAGTAAGTTATCTTCATACAAACGAACCACGTGCGGCTTGTATGTGTGCGCCGTAGTACCTATGCGTCGCCGCACGCACACTTAACAAAATCTCGACTCAATTCGAGGTGCGCCAGTCGGGGCTAACATTGCACGAGATTCGCGCGTCACGGCTTTTCAGCACCGCTAAATGAATGAAAAACGTGTGATAATCGTAGGAGAACGTATTGTGTGATTCAATAGACATGTTTGCATTATATGTGTTTGTATTAATTAAAAATAAATACTTAATGGTCATTTATGTGCAAAAAAAAAACATTATTGCCGATTAAAAAAAAACAAAAAGCTGATTAGTATACAACGTGTAACATAATTAACTCTAACCTCTCATGGATATAAATACAACTTCCTGACCCTTACCAATTTATAGGCACTGTTGTGACAATTTAAAATATAGCTAATAGTCACAACCCTAAGACAGTAGGCAATTGTATCGCGGATTGGGCCGGAGATAGCCTACTTCCCCTCTTTATACTATGCTAGTGCGAAGTTCTTTTAATACAAAGTAATTCTGGGGAAGTAGACTAATCTAGATCTGGCGCAACAATAGAAAAACTTGCTAAAAATAATAAAAAAATGTTGAAAATTTTGAGGCTAATATTTTTATAAGCACGTGCGTGCTTATAAACATACTCGGACAGCTAAAGATTTTAGTTCTCCAAAAAAAAAAAAAAAAAACAACTAACATAGGTTGAATTTAAAAACTACAAAAACTATCCACTTTTTAAAATTTCGATAGCCATAAAGAAATACATTGCAATTAAGACTTATAAAAGATAGGAACCTGCTTATACCTATTGATGTTGACAAATACTTTACGTTAAAGTTGTTATAAAAGTTTATATTGAGTTACCTTATCTTATAACCTTCGAAGTGTGAACGAAATCACAATATAAATTAACACTTTTATCCACTAAATTACCACCTGGGTACTGACTGACTTTACAACACAATAAAAAGAAATCTTGTCCATGCGAATCTAGTCTGCGAGTGTTGCGTTGCATTCACAAAATGAATGATTGTTTACGTTTCGCTCGCAGAAGAAATACAAAAATGACACGGGTATTCCCCGTCTCGCGCACGAAGTTGTTAAACTTTCATATTGTTGCCAGACGATTCTACCCGTAAAGTGCTCATCGCAATAAACGAGAAACACACTCACTTAAATCGCGCAAGTGTATGATATTAAAATAAATAATAATGAATAACTAAACTTTAAATAATAAAAAAGTTTTGCGAGGCCCCTTCAAGTCGGTCCCCCTCGGAGGTAGCCGACGTCGCCGACGCCTAGCGGCGCCACTGTTCATAAGCTGTAACTACCAATGATAATTTTTTACGTATTCATATTGAAGAGCATCTTAATCCTGCTCCATTTTTAGGGTATTTATTTCAAACGCAGGCGAGCAAATCAGCATTGACTGTTGAAATTACAAATGCTGTTAGAAAACGGTGCATTGATTTTAACATCAAATTGTTAAAAGGAATTCAGCAGAGACTACCAAGCAACTTCACTATATAAAATCTTTTAGAGAAAATGTCTCAGTTTAGTGTTGAAAACACACTTCGACAAGTAAAAGACAACTCAATTATGTAATCAAGGATGCTGAAACAAATGATAAAATAATTGATAGAAACAGGCGTTACTTTGCGAAAATTCATTATAATAAAGATTTATATCTAATTCGCAACCATCCGCATTAATTAAATACAATGATGTGTCTTACCTGGATTGAAGAGCACCTCCCGCCCTCCCTCAATTGCGTGCACTAATCCCGCCACCACTAGTCCCAGCACCACTACTTCCAACACCACTATTCCAGGAAAGACACACCATCGACGACAATACGGCACGCGTTCCGCCTCTTCACGCGGCATCTTCAGGAGATGTAGACTCTACGATGTCTGACCGCTAAGTGAGTGGCGAGCCAAAACAGCCATTTATACACGCTAACACAACTGCGCCCCACCAAAGTAGCAGGCGACCGCGTCGTGCGATAATAAAACATAAACCTGCGATTATTATAATTATTATGGGGAATATCTATATAGTTTTCTCATCTGCTTGGGTTCTATAAATATATAATTATAAATGGAAATGAAAAGATAAATATACATAAATATCAATAAAATAAAATAAATATAAAAACACATAAATAAATAAAATCCCAACCAGATGGAGGCCCTCGGCAGGGGAGACCAAACAGCCGAGGGTTAGGGGGAAAGGGACAGAAACCGGCGGACGATGCGGCTGGTATCAAGGAGCAGCGCCTTCTGCATTTGAGCCTGGAGCGGTCCGCCACCAGTCCCAGCCGCCTCAGATGACCCGAGACTGGGATTAGCCCGTTTGCAGAGACGACTACAGGAATAATTTCGGTCGGCAGACCACCCCACATGTCGGTCACCTCGTGAGCCAGGTCCAGTTATTTTGTTTGCTTATCTGATTCGGCTTTCACGAGGTTCTCGTCATACGGAATAATAATGTCGACCAAAAATATCCTTGACTGTGCCCGGTCCATCAGCACAATATTGTAGTATCTACCTAGTACCTATACGTATGTTTGGGAATAATCTTAATATATATATATACGTGTCACGTTGTTTGTCCGCGATGGACTGATGGACTCCTAAACTACTTAACCGATTTTGATCAAATTTGCACACAGTGTGCAGTTTGGTCCAACTTGAGAGATAGGATAGTTGTTTTTGCCCATGAGTGACCCACAATTTATTTTTTGCTATTGAGGATTTTTAATAGGACATGACAAAGGGTCGTTGAAAAGGGCAGAACAACGTCTGCCTGGCAAGCTAGTCTAATATATAAACTTATTAATAAAGTAATTACAGACAGCCTTACGTCAACACTCAAGCATTTCATTTCTCTCGTCCTTACATGGCGACCCTGCCAGTCGGTGTGCGCGCGACTCCGCTCGCCGCGTGCACCGGCTGGCCACCGATAGTACAATTATAATAAATACGTAAAAAATTGTATATTAAAAATTATTACACATTCCCGGATTGAGAAAATTAATTAAAGTCGTGTAGAGTCGGCCATCAAAAAGTTATATCATTGTGAATAAATATTTACAAAATAAAACATAAGAAGTATAAAATCAAAAGGCAAAGATGCATCAAAAAGGAGAAGAGAGAATAAGAGAAATAACTTTTTCACTCCGGATAAGAAGAATATTGGTTGAAAAGATCTAAATTGAAGTACGCAATGGTGTTCACATAGGAAATTTTACACTGTCAAGATATATACACAATTTTCAAAAACTCGTAACAACCAAGCGAAACAAAAAGGAGATATTTATCAAAACATAAAATTATCAAGAATTTAATCGAGTGGCCAGTTTTTAGGAGGACTGAATTTTTCGTGTTCTCCATCTGCAAGAAAACAGACTTTCTGTTATGTTATTTGCAAGAAACAAAAAAAACTTTTTAATAGAGACTATAATGTGAAAAATATGCTTGATGTATCTGCAAAACACTACTGTATAAAATGCAAATTATATGATTATATTTTAAGGTGAGTGATTTTAAATATTTATCTCTTTTAAAATTCTAATTTCATAAAATTAAAAATATAATGACTTTAGTCACCACTCATATTTAGATTGGTTTTTTTTTTTACCGAACACTCAATAGAAAGCAAGTGCATGTACAACATGTAACAAAAGCTCTGTGGTTCCCGTTAACTGCGTTATTGGAATCAGTATCCAAGCATATAGAAATAAATTTTTTTTTTCAAAAAAAAAAAACACTTAAAAAAAATTATTTTAATGAAAAAAAAAATACTTTGCAAATTTTATGTGCAATATTTATGTTTAGCCGAGAATTAAGTAGATTATCAAAGACCCTTCATTACCGTTACTCGTGTGAGTTAGAGGAAATAAAACCACATATAATATGCAAATTATTTTTTTTTCATTAAAATTAATTTTTTTTAAATGTGTTTTTTTGAAAAAAAAAAATATTTCTATGCGCTTGGATACTGATTCTGATAACACACTTAACAGGAACCACAGGGTTTTTGTTACATGTATAATATCCTAATTATTTTAGCGTGCTTATTTTAATTATCTATTTTGTTCTAAAATATTTAACAAAATGAATGAAATAAAAAGGAACTTTATTATATTGCTATCAGATAAACGACAACTCAATGAATAAATTTTGTAAAAGATAAATTGATCGGTGAATAATATTAATTTAAAACGCAGCTTAACTTAGTAACGCAAACTGATATATTTTATTAATAATAAAAATTGCAATATTCTATATAGATATTATTTAAGAATTCATCGAAATGTAATATCATGTTTTCTTTGTATTAACATTGCGCATCAAATTCTAAACAATGCTGACGTGATCTTTTGCATATAAGGCATCGGAATATTACACGTAGTTAATACAGAATGATGCATTAATATACACTACTGTTGTCACCTGATTTGCCTTCAAAATATTGACTTTATACTTCTTCATTTACTTTATCTCCGATTAAAATCCAGTATTTAACTGATAAAAAAGACTTGATAAAATAAACTATTATTTTGTAATACTGTTGGCACGACTACTAACGCCATCTAGCGACGCACCGGAACACCTCACTTTTATCTACAAATCACAATCGTCGTGCAATTAGTTATAAGATCTGTCTGTTTTAAATTTTGATTATTACCTGATACACACTGTTAGCAA